TAGAGCAAAGTGAGGAGCCTCTTGAGGGACCGAGGGGCACAAAGATTTGCCTGAGAAAGAGCTGAGTAAGAGCCCCTGGCTTTAGCCTCGCGTGTGTGAATGAAGTGAGTTATTTGGGGACTGAAAGTGCACTGTTTGCCGAGGTTTTCCATCAAACTGATGACATTGCTCTGTGCTAGAGTTCACCCATTTGTGCACTCTCTCAGGCTTTCCTAGCAGCGGGCAGTTAAATAGCTCCATTCAGGCTTTGAATCTGCGCATTGAAGAGCCACACTGTGACCCTCAGAGGGAGCTGCTGAACGAGGCCGTTGCGCCCCAGGTTGCCTCCACGCATCCGGCTCCTGGCCCTGGGAGCTCCCAGCCTTTCCTCTCGGCTGGGCTCAGGTTCTCGCTGCTGTCCCCGGTCGCTGCCGTTCGCTCCCAACTTTGGGAAGTGCTTGATGTGGTCCTGTGCGCGGGGAGCCCGGGGACAGGTTGCGTAGGACCCGCCAGCCAACCCGCACAGGGCACTGCCTTTTATTTTCTTCTGAACTTCCAGCCCTTCTACTCTTCTTTTGAGGATGTTAGAGCTGCAACACCCTCTTGGAAATAATTATTTTATGGCCTCTGCCCTCTTGTTTTGAATGCGGAGGGTGGGAATTTTCCAGGGAGGCTGCTGTTTTCCAAGCGGCTCTCGTGGCCCAGAGGGCTCCAGTTAGAAGTCAAGGGGAACAAGAACAATTAAGTAACTGGTTTGGCTCCTAAGCACAGAAAGGACTTATGAGAAACATATTAAAATACCAAGAATCTCTTCTGCTCCGTGATGCTCCTGATGGCTGTGTTATCATCTCCTCCGCGCTGTCTCATTTCCCAACAGAGTGACATGAAAGCCCTTTCGCGTCACCAGAATGAAGGACGTCACCAGGATGAAGGACGATGAGGAGCTTTGTCCTCTGCATCCTCATCCCCAGTGAGAGCTGCTTTGGAGACCACAGTTCTCTGTGCTAAGGAAGATGTTTAATAATTGATCGTGTTATTCTCTTTTCAGCCCAGAACTGCCTCTATCAGACAGCATTTACGCAGCTGTACTTTCTCGCTGCTCGGTCACCTTCATGTGGATGTCTCGCTTTTTGGCCATTAATTTCTCCCAGTTTTTAGCGAGCAGGAGAACCACGTATTGACCCTGTGTGTCCGCGGCTCCTCACAAAGCAGGCGCGCGCGGGGCGGCCAGGGCAGCCCTTCCCGGCGTTCCGCGGCACGGGCAGCGGATGCGGCCGCGCTGCTCCGCTCCATCACCGCGGCCTGTTTGCGGCTCCCAGCTGGGCTCTGGTCCTGTGGATCCTGCTGGGACTTGGGCTGTACTTGCAGCCCCAAACTAGGGAAAACGGCAAAGTAAGCTGAAGCCTAAAGCTGCTTTTTGGCTTTGTTCTGCCGTCCACCTCCTATTTCCTGTAGGCCGGGAAAGTTCCGTCTTTCTGTTCCTGTCTGACACGTTTGCTGCTGGAGGAAGACAACATGCAAAATAAGGGTGTAACTTGGCGTCGGAACATGTGGGTGCCTTGGGGCTGTCACACATGCTTTGTGTTTAATTTTTCAGTGGCGTGGAAAGGTGCCAGGGCTTGTCGCAGAGCCCTGTCTTTCCCGGCCCTCTCCTGTCCCTTGCTTAGTTCGTGGCTTGATGGCACGAAGGACGCAGCAGAGCAGCTCCTGTGCTGCGGCGCGGGGACACCGTGTCCCCCCCGTGCACGCGGGCAGGGGCCAGGGTGAGCTGGCATCACGCCAGGGTAATAAAGCAATTGCAGCAGGGCAGCAGTGTCGGGGGAGAGAGCGGCCGCGCAGGGCACGTGCCCACCGAGGGGCTCCTGGCTGCAGAACCCTCTGCAAGGGCCAAAATAATTGGGCTGAATCACCAACCACTGTCAAGAAGATTCTGTGCTCCAAGAGTAAAAGTTTCTCCAGCAGTGGGACAGAAGCAGGTCCAGGGACCATCTGCAAGTGCTCCCCAAGCACCGCTTGGGCCCGCGTTCAGCCCCTTCCCTGCCTTCTCTTCAGGCTTGTCTGCTGTGTCCGTGACCTGCATGAAGAGAGGCTGTTATTCCAAATCTTGATTTTTGTCTCTTGTTTTCTGACTCTTCTGGTTTTTCTCCTCTATAATCAACACAACACCACAACGCCGCCGTGTTCTGGCCTGCCAGACCATCCCCATGCCGAGATGCATGGCATTAATGTCCGCGCGATGCTCCGTGTCCTGGCTCCGAGGGCTGGCCGAGTTCAGAGGGGTGTCTGTCCATGGCCCTGCACTTAGCGGGACCTTTTCCCAGTGTGATCAGCTGCCTGCAGGATACGCTGCGTCCTTTGGCTCCGCAGATGCCGTTCCAGCAGCACGGGGGGGAAACCCTGTTCACGTCCTCCACCCGTTACTAACATTGCACGGTTTTGGGAAGGGTGTGAAATTAATGATGACTCTGGAGGTTTTTTTGACCGCATAAGGGTAATTCACTCCCATTCATGTCATATTCCCTAAAGATTGCTGCTCCTTTAAAACAGCTGCAAAAAACCCGCACCTTTTTGCTCTTTCCTCTTGCAGGTTACTCATCGGCAGTCCAGAAATTCTCCCAGACTCTGCAGTCCTTTCAGTTTGACTTTATTGGGGACACACTAACAGATGATGAGATTAATATTGGTAAGTGCTCTTCTCCTTGATGTAAACTTTCAGTTACTGAGAAAACTTCTCCCTCCAGGAGTTTGCCAGTGTTGATGTTTCCTAGACAGAGTCGGGGCCAGGTTTCTCATGCTGTTTGACATGCACGATGCGTTGCATGCAGGAAACGCTGCGATTTCGCAGCAAGTTTACGAAGTCGGAGCTTTCCTGGCGGGGCTGGCAGGTCTGGCCGTGGTCTTGCCGAGCTTATCTGTGACTGCTCGTGTGCGGCAGGGCTGGGGACGCAGGTGCCCTTGCCCAGGCGGGTGCTGCTTCTGACTGACGAAAACAAAGCTGCCCCCACGCTATCCTGGAAAACACGCAGGCTGCAAACTGCCGGGAAAAACAAACCGCTGGGTGTATCATTATGGGAAAAATAAATCTCCACCTTCACGGATGTGGAAGGCTGTGGCAGATGGCTCCTTCCTGTTTCAGGGTTAGAAACCCATGCATTTTGCTTCCCTACCAGTCCAATAGATTCTGTATAGGTTAAACTTCTGCTAACTGCATCCAGAGAGTGAAAACTGATGCAGAAAACATCCTGATCCAGCACTGTTCAAGTGAATCGTGCGCTGGGCTCAGCTCTGGCTGCTGAGCTGTCATTGCAGCGGCCAGGGCAGCATTGCTGACAGCGGTTTTGTCGGCTGTCCTTGAAAAGGGAAGGAAGAAAAGCTTGTTCTTTTGCTTATTTTAGTTAAAGCAATTTAAAGCAGTCTGTGGCTTCCCCTTCAAAAACTGGTTTCCTTTATGGAAAGCTTCAAGGTGAAACCTACTGGAAATGAGTCAATCTCCTGTTCCAATGGAAACAGAGGTATTGAATTTCCAAACTCCTCTGAGTAACGGAGGGGAAGAGTCGAGCATTGTAAATGAGCCACAGATTTGATGCGAAGGTCTCGCATATGGAAGATGGAGCAAGGATGGGTCATGGCAAGTGTAAAACTTGAAAGGAGGGGAAAGGAGGGTGTCCCCACTTGTGTTTTACGCGAGCATGTTTATTTTGCACTTTTGAGCCGAGTGCCCTGATCAGCCAGTGTGGAAGTCCGGGTTGTGGTTCCTCCTGCTCCCTCCAGCCTTGCAGCATCTCCTCGGGCCTGAGCTGCTCTGGGAGTCTCTGTTATTCCTAACACAAGGGCAGGGTGTCGACGCCTCAGCAGCAGCCTCGTCTCTTGGGAGGCTGCGGCAGAGCCAGGAGGCTGCAGAGTGGCACACGAGCGTGGCCAGGAGGCGGGGATGAGACTCGGCCTCTGCAGGGCCACTCAGCATCTGGTGGGTGCAGGCAGCTGAGCGCCGTCCTGTCCCCGTGGCAAGCGCGAGCCGCCCCACGCCCA